ATTTACCAGCAATGATAACATTTCGTTCTTCTTCATGGCTGCATAAAATTCCATTGTGTATAGATACCACATTTTCTTAATCCATTCGTCAGTGGTGGGGCATCTTGGCTGTTTCCATAACTTGGCTATTGTGAATAGGTGCCGCAATAAACATGGGTGTGCAGGTGCCTCTGGAGTAACCTGTGTCCAGTCTTTTGGGTATATCCCCAAGAGTGGTATTGCTGGATCAAATGGTAGATCAATTTAGCTTTTTAAGTAGCCTCCAAATTTTTTCCAGAGTGGTTGTACTAGTTTACATTCCCACCAACAGTGTAAGAGGGTTCCTTTTTCCCCCATCCTCGCCAACACCTGTTGTTGGTGGTGTTGCTAATGATGGCTATTCTAACAGGGTGAGGTGGAATCTTAGTGTGGTTTTAATTTGCATTTCCTTTATTGCTAGAGATGGTGAGCATTTTTGCATGTGTTTTTTGGCCATTTGAATTTCCTCTTTTGAGAAAGTTCTGTTTAGTTCACTTGCCCATTTCTTTATTGGTTCATTAGTTTTGGGAGAATTTAGTTTTTTAAGTTCCCTATATATTCTGGTTATCAGTCCTTTGTCTGATGTGTAGCTGGCAAATATTTTCTTCCACTCTGTGGGTGTTCTCTTCAGTTTAGAGACCATTTCTTTTGATGAACAGAAGCTTTTTAGTTTTATGAGGTCCCATTTATCTATGCTATCTCTTAGTTGCTGTGCTGCTGGGGTTTCCATTGAGAAAGTTCTTACCTATACCTACTAACTCCAGAGTATTTCCTACTCTTTCCTGTATCAACTTTAGAGTTTGGGTCTGATATTAAGATCCTTGATCCATTTTGAGTTAATCTTGGTATAGGGTGATATACATGGATCTAGTTTCAGTTTTTTGCAGACTGCTAACCAGTTTTCCCAGCAGTTTTTGTTGAAGAGGCTGCTATTTCTCCATCATATTTTTTTGCTCCTTTGTCAAAGACAAGTTGGTTATAGTTGTGTGGCTTCATATCTGGGTCCTCTATTCTGTTCCACTGGTCTTCATGTCTGTTTTTGTGCCAGTACCATGCTGTTTTTATTTATTGCTTTGTAATATAGTTTGAAGTTCAGGTATCGTGATACCTCCAGCACTTTCTTTTTTTTTTTTTAATTTTTCTTTTATTATTTCATATGTGCATACAGGCTTGGTTCATTTTCTCCCCCTCTGCCCCCACCCCTCCCTTCCACCCACTCGCCCCCTCCCTTCCCCCCCTCAATACCCGCGAAACTATTTTGCCCTTATTTCTAATTTTGTTGTAGAGGAGAGTATAAGCAATAATAGGAAGGAACAAGGGTTTTTGCTGGTTGAGATAAGGATAGCTATACAGGCATTGACTCCACATTGATTTCCTGTGGTGGGTGTTACCTTCTAGGTTAATTTCTTTTTGATCTAACCTTTTCTCTATACCTGGTCCCCTTTTCCTATTGGCCTCAGTTGCTTTTAAGGTAACTGCTTTAGTTTCTCTGCGTTTAAGGGCAACAAATGCTAGCTAGTTTTTTAGGTGTCTTACCTATCCTCACCCCTCCCTTGTGTGCTCTCGCTTTTATCATGTGCTCAGTATTCCCTTGTTGGTTTCCCCAGCAGGTTCTTTTGACTGAGTATTGCCTTGGCTATTGTGGCCTCTTGTGTTTCCATATAAATTTAAGTAGATTTTTCAATCTCTTTAATGAATGTCATTGGAATTTTGATGGGAATTGCATTAAACATGTAGATTACTTTTGGGAGTATAGACATTTTTACTATGTTGATTCTACCAATCCATGAGCATGGGAGATCTCTCCACTTTCTATAGTCTTCCTCAATCTCTTTCTTCAGAAGTTATAGTTTTCCTTGTAGAGGTCTTTCACATCTTTTGTTAGGTTTACACCTAGGTATTTGATTTTTTTTGAGGCTATTGTAAATGGAATTGTTTTCATAATTCTTTTTCAGTTTGCTCATTGTTAGTGTATAGAAATGCTAATGATTTTTCTATGTTGATTTTATATCCTGCTACCTTGCTTAGCTATTGATGATGTCTAGAAGCTTCTGAGTAGAGTTTTTTGGGTCTTTTAGGTATAGGATCATGTCATCTGCAATAGGGATATTTTGACAGCTTCTTTACCTATTTGTATTCCTTTTATTCCTTCTTCTTGCCTAATTGCTCTGGCTAGGAATTCCAGTACTATGTTGAATAGGAGTGGAGATAGTGGGCATCCTTGTCTGGTTCCTGATTTTAGAGGGAATGGTTTTAGTTTTTCTCCTTAAGTATAATGCTGGCTGTAGGTTTGTCATATATAGCTTTTATAATGTTGAGGTACTTTCCTTCCATTCCTAGTTTTCTTAGAGCTTTTATCATGAAATGGTGTTGGATCTTATCAAAGGCTTTTTCTGCATCTATTGAGATGATCAAGTGGTTTTTGTCTTTGCTTCTGTTAATGTGGTTTATTACATTTATTGATTTTTGTATGTTGAACCACCCCTGCATCCACCAAGTGGGATGAAGCCTACTTGGTCGTGGTGAATAATCTTTTTGATGTGTTGCTGAATTCGTTTGCCATTATTTTTTGAGGATTTTTGCATCAATGTTCATTAAGGAGATTGGCCTATAGTTCTCCTTTTGGAGGTGTCTTTGCCTGGTTTTGGGATAAGTGTAATACTGGCTTCATAAAATGTGTTTGGCAGTTTTCCTTCCCTTTCTATTTCATGGAACAGTTTAAGGAGGGTTGGTATCAGTTCTTCTTTAAAGGTCTGATAGAATTCAGCAGAGAATCCATCAGGTCCTGGACTTTTCTTTTTGGGGAGACTCTTGATTGCTGCTTCAATTTCATTTTGTGTTATAGATCTATTCAGGTGATTAATTTCCTCTTGGTTCAGTTTTGGATGATCATATGTATCTAGAATCTGTCCATTTCTTTAAGATTTTCAAATTTATTTGAATATAAGTTTCTCAAAGTAGTCTCTGATGATTTCCTGGACTTCCATGGTGTTTGTTGTTATCTCCCCTTTTGCATTCCTGATTCTACTAATTTGGGTTTTTTCTCTCCTCATTTTAGTCAGGTTTGCCAGGGGTCTGTTGATCTTGTTTATTTTTTCAAAGAACCAACTTTTTGTTTCATTAATTCTTGTATGGTTTTTTTGGTTTCTATTTCATTGATTTCAGCTCTTATTTTTATTATTTCTCTCCTTCTATTTGTTTTGGGATTTGCTTGTTCTTGTTTTTCTAGGAGTTTGAGATGTATCATTAGGTCATTGATTTGGGATCTTTCAGTCTTTTTAATATATGCACTCATGGCTATAAACTTTCCTCTCAGGACTGCCTTTGCTGTGTCCCATAGGTTCTGGTAGGTTGTGTTTTCATTTTCATTGACTTCCAGGAACTTTTTAATTTCCTTTTTTATTTCATCGATGATCCATTGTTCATTAAGTAATGAGTTATTTAGTTTCCAGCTGTTTGCATGGTTTTTGTCTTTACTTTTGTTGTTGAGTTCTACTTTTACTGCATTGTGATCAGATAGTATGCACGGTATAATTTCTATTTTCTTATATTTGTTGAGGCTTGCTTTGTGCCCTAGGATATGATCTATTTTGGAGTAGGTTCCATGGGCTGCTGAGAAGAATGTATATTGTGTAGAAGTTGGATGAAATGTTCTGTAGACATCAAGTAGGTCCATTTGATCTGTTGTGTATTTTAGATCTTGGATTTCTTCATTGATTTTTTGTTTGGATGACCTATCTATTGATGATAATGGGGTGTTAAAGTCTCCCACAGCCACTGTGTTGGCGTAAACATTCAGGGTATGTTTGATGAAATTGGGTGCGTTGACATTGAATACCACATTTTCTTAATCCATTTGTCAGTAGTGGGGCATCTTGGCTGTTTCCATAACTTGGCTATTGTGAATAGTGCTGCAATAAACATGGGTGTGCAGGTGCCTCTGGAGTAACCTGTGTCACATCTTTTGGGTGTATCCCCAAGAGTGGTATTGCTGGATTATATGGTAGATCTATGTTTAGATTTTTAAGTAGCCAAGGGGAGGCATTTTAATGTTTAGTTAAATAAGTCACATGAAGGTGGCAGCAATGAGGGGAGGAGTACAGAACTTAAGGCTCAGGGACAGCAAGCATGAAGATTAGTGCTTTCAAGACCATGGAGGGAGGACTGGGCTGAAGAAGAGCTGAGTTCCACAGTGTGCAGAGATCAGCTCTTCCAGGGTCCTGAAGTGGCTAGAAAAGAGGATAAGATTCAAGGCTCTTGGTCAAGGAGCATGACTGGGGTTTCCTTGACATTCTATAAAACCACACTGTCCACTTCATGAAGAATATGGAAACCCAAGTGTTCTTTTCTTTGTCTAGAAAGAAAATAGAGTCTCCTGACTTCTTGAGAAGTTCTAAGTATATGCCTCTTTCTGCTGTGAGAAAAAGGAATCTGATTTCTTGATGACCAATGGTTCTAATTCTGAGTTTAACAATCTATCATATAATATTTTAAAATCGTAAGAGAGAAAAAGCATTGCAGAGAAGACACAAGTGGCCAATAGAAACAGAAGGTTGGGGTAAGGGCAGGGCTATCTGTAGCCTGGAAAGATCTTGCCCTGTGCTAGGGGAAAGAGAGAGGGTTATGTTTCCCCAGGAGACATCAAGACTTCAGAGAGGAACCTCTAACATCACAAGAGAATCCTGGGTTTCACAAGGGCATGAAAGCAGCAGAGAGATGCATGCGTAACTACAGGAACTTCATGCACAGGGACAAAGGCTACCTACGCTCTGCATGGATGGATGACAGAGAACTAAAGGAACACACTCCCTCTCCCTGACAACCCAACAATGCACAAACCTCAAAAGTGGCTGTGGCTAAATCCAGCAGGATGAAGTTGCCTGAAAACTAAAATTATATTAGTAAGTAGATAAATACAACATGTTATATGCCTGAGTTTAGGGGCTGAGATTTATGTCTACTACATAAGCAAATGCAAAGGATCATATTACCATTGCTCTCCTGCAATATAAAAAAGTTTTCATAAAATGATCCAATCCCAAGTTTGATGCTCGATCCTTTTCTTTGGCACTAGCACCTAATTGAGAGTCTGAATCATAAATTGTATGTATCTTGGAAATATTTTCTTCATTGACTTTGAGATTTGTAAATGCAGAAAATTCTTCAGTATCTACAGCACCAAAAAAAATGGTATAACATTATTAAAAGCATAGAAGTAAGTTCCCATAAACTTAGCAGGACACAAGCACCAAATGACTAATCCAGATAGCAAATGCTGGAGAAAGGACAGAGCTACCAAAGACACAACGAGCCAGGGGAAGTTTCCAGAGAATAAGCACTTACCTGTTGGAGGATGGGCCATATGGAGAAATATGAAGAATATTCCAAGCAAAGGTAAGGGCAAAGGTAACAAGGCAGAGGGAAGAATGAACATGTTTGGGAGGTGCAATGACAGGATCCCACTACCCCTTAATTTCTCCCCCAAGCAGCCACTCCCAGGACACACACACTAGTGAGTAACACTCTGAGTTCAGCAGTGCAGCAACCCCAGCCACTCATTCCCTTGCTGGTGTGGCATCAAAACAGGAGCATTTAGCTAGGCACAGTGGTACACAACATAATCCAGCTACTAAGGAAACAGAGGTAGGAGGATCGTGGTCCAAAGCCAACTCAGGCAAAGTAAGTAAGACCCAAAACAAACTAAAAGCAAAAAGGTTAGGGGCATAGCTCAAGTGGTAGAGCACTTGCTTAGCAAGAGTGAGGCCCTGAGTTCAATTCCCAGTACACCTCCTGCCACAGACCTTCTCTCCCATTGCTGTACTAGATAACCCTTGATAGCAGAACATCCCATCAACAGCATCTTGTGGGCAAAGGCAGGGAGAAGCAGTATATTTTAATCTATATACAAAATCCAGGCTCTGTATCTATGGAATTTACCTTCAAATACCTCAGCACACATAGTATAACGTGCAAGTACCAGATAAACCTAACCAATACCAAAAAAAAATTAGAAAGTGTGCTAAGGTTCTGAATTCACAGGACTAGGGCAGCTAACTAGCCTACCAAGAACCCTGATCAGCAATAAGTTATAGAGCACTTACAATGCCAGGATTAAAAATCTAAATGTGGGTTTATAATGGCATAAAGACATTAAAAACAAATTTTTATTTGTGAAATGGTGGCATGCAAGAGAGGACTACCTACTGATTAGGGATAGTGTTCAGGATCTATCATCTTTGAAGGACAGGGGTGAGTATAAAATCAGCCACATTTGGCAAACAATAGTCACTAGTACAGTGCCCAGATCTAGAGACCAGTTGTGCCTGCCTGTGCCTCCACCTCCCATAGCCCCTGACATCTGACCAGGTAATAACACTTCCTGGTTTTGCCAGCAGAGTATTATTTAATTTATCTTGGAGTGAGCTTTAACAGAAGGTGCTAGCTGGAGAGCCTAGGGATACAGTGGACTACCTTGAATACAAAATCAGCTGGTATAACTATTTTTGTGCCTGTTTTGTATCAGTACATTTGATGGAATTTGAAAAGCTACTTCCACTAGAATATTACATCTGATAACAAGTCTCCACCTATCTTGAACCACTGGAGGCTACTGATATTTGAGAAAAGAATATTATATTTGCAGAACAGCCAAACTGGTTTAGGTTGGAACACAAAATCAGTATTTCCAAATATATATGATACTATAAAATATATAAATTTAAATATAGCAAACAGTCTATAAGATACCAAAACTCAACTACTCAACTAAATTTCTGGAGTTTTAGAAAATGACACATGTACTTCTGTGTGGCCACTGGATAGTAAATAAACACCTTTATTTTACCTGATGGTAAGTTGGCCTTTCTTTTTTTAGTTGAAAGAAGAAAATTAAGAATTGCTTTATAATTTTCTAGAGTCAATTTTGCTGTTGGTAATACTGTTCCTGAATTATATAGTGAGAATAGATTAGGATCAAGTGAGCGGAAACTGAAAATGGAAAAAAAAAATCACATTAAAAAAACAATATAAGCAGAATTGAATCAAGTCCGTCAAATACAATGTATTTTATTTTATTTAAGACACGTGTGAATGAGTGTTCCCAAATTTTAGAACATAAAGCATTTGGGCACTTAAAGCCACTTTCCCACTAACTTTTAAATTTATACAGTATAACTTTGCTTTTAGGAATTTTAACATTAATACCGGTTTCCTTGAAAGGACCCTTGAAAATGCGAATGAAAACTCTACACTCACTCTATAAGCACTGAAACAATAATTTATGTCAATTTAAAAACCTCCTGATTTAAACAAAACTCAGTGAAGACACTTATTGTATAAAGCAACATATCCATAATAACTGCTATTTTTAAAAATAAAATCTAAGCAGTAAATGATCTTCCACAAAAAAAATGATTAATTAAATATTGTGTATACATTAACAATTTCAATAAGTCAAAGTGAGCAGCAAGCTACCTTGACACAAATTTGGTCATTGTGTCATTGTGCTGTCAAGGGGTCATCCGCTAAGTGGTGATGCAGGATTGGAAACTCAAAGAAGCCAGCTCAGTGTCCAGAGAATATTAAGGAAGCCCATCTTTTCTCTGTCATGGTCCTGTGAATGGGTCACTTTGCAAGCTAACTGCTTCCTGAATGCAGATCTGGTCTAGCTCTCACAGGAAAGGCATCTATCTGGAGTTGTTTTTATGAAGGTTAGTCTGCAGTGATTTTAACCAAAGTTCTGGAGAAACACAGATACCAGGACCAAGTTCATGCGGATTTCAACCTCCATGTTTTTTCCTCAGCGGATGATTGAAATAAATTCCCTCTTAATCCATATTCCTGTCTCCAGTCTTTCCTCTCTCCAACCCACTTGATACGGTACTGCTATCAGGGCCATGCTCAAAAATCCTCAACAAGCTATTGTATATTATATATATATATATATATATATATATATGTATACATACATATATATAACTGTATATACCATATATGTATAACGTATAGATGCTCATAGAAATTAAAGATAAACATGATCTACAACAGACTTACTTTTCTAATTACTTCACACCACTCCCTTCCATATGCCCTAGATTCTGGTCAGATTGTTTGGGGTTCTCATCCTATGTTAACTATCTGGGTTCTGACTTGTGTTCTTCCAACTATTCAGAGTACCTACTTCCCTCTCTGCCTATTTCTAAACCTTGCTTATGAGGCAAGACCCAGGCCTCCTTATTCCTCCCATGAACCCTTTCCTGTTAGGTCTAGCCAGAGGAAAGTCTCCATCTAGTAACAAAGAAGACTATATGTGTACTTGACCTTCTACCATTAATTACAGCTATTTGTGAACACTTGCAATTTGCCCTACCAATCCACTAACTTTTATCTTTGCATACTAACTCTCTGTGCCTAACTCAGTATTTGGCAAGTATTTTTTAAATGAATGCCTCTAGGTCACTTTTTTAACGGCAATATGGCATACCACATTATGTACTTATCTTATATTTCTATATTCCTCAAAACAGCCAAAGACACTCAATAAGAACTCAAAAAATGTCTGTTGAATTAATGACAGGAATTTTGTATTATATGAGAAAACACTATCTCTGCTTATAGAGACTTCAAAAATACCTCTAAACAAATAGAAATAAATTTCACATGATGCCTACTAATATTACTAAGGAATTGCCATTGCACTGAAAGGTAGACTGACAAACATACTCAAGATATATGCAAGTTAGAGCTTCATAAGCACATATATCCCCAGTACTCACTTAGAACAGATTGTGAGATAATAAGAAATACAGCAAGGGTCAGGATAAACATAGAGTCATTCTCTAACAACCTTATTGTTACCAACATACAGAGCCTTGAACCTACAAATACACAATCTGTGTTCATGAGACTAAGATGGTATGATTTACCAACAGTATACTATACCTGACCATGGAGGGGGAAGTGCCAAACTTCATCCTCATATGGTCCCCTAGCTTCTGTAGAAGCAAGTGGAAGTGTGCACTTGCCAGATATATGTTCATCTGAGCTCTCCAAGGCATCTCCTCAAGAAATATTTGATGAAACCTCTTTCTTTTAGCATGATTTAGTATTAGAGGATTCAAGTTATCTGTCAGACATCGATATGCTATTTTTCTAACATCCGCTCTTTTATTTCTGCCGAGGGAGAAAGAAGTTTTAAAATTACACAACTTCTAAACATTTAATAAAGAAGAATAATTCTAATTTACACAAAATACATCAAGAAGTCACTTGGCTGCCCTTATGCAAATGTTTCTGGCTTATTTATCATTTCCTCAGTGCTAAAAAGTGAAATAGGGTAGAAAAGAAGACACAAGGATAAGCGCCAGGGACAAAGACACCACATATTGCATCCAGTTCTCTCATGTTTCAGCTCAACCCAGAGCCTTTCTTTTCCATAACGAAAAGGCTGCTGGGATTCAAGGCTCACATTCATCAACTAACTTCAATATTAAACAAGAAAATCATTTCCCTGTACTGGTCCTTAAGGAAAAAAACAATGGAACAAAATTTTGCCTAACATTAGTTAGACTCCAGAGGAAAAATTTCAGTTAAATATAAAGGAAATAACTGCATATTCAATATTGCTCCAGAAAAAAATATTATTCAAATGTTAGCTAACAGTTCAGGTTTGGTTTGGCTTTTGTTTTTGTTTTTTGAGATGGGATCTTGCTATGCAGTCCAGACTGGCCTCAAATTTGTAATCCTCCTGCTTCCACCTCCCAAGTGCCTTAGTGGTTTGTTAATTGATTTCCCAATAGATAGTAATCTTTTTTAATAACTAACATGAAAATTTAAAAAATGTAACTTCCAAAATAAAAATTAATCTGTCCCTGGCGAGGAGGCCAATTCTCCTTAAAAGGCCAAGAAGAGCCCATGAGGTTAGCTACATCTTCCCAGCCACTGAAGAATTCAGGGAGGAAGGGAGAAGACGGGCTTCCCCCAGGTGCTGACAGACTCCAGGTGGCCTGGAAGGCCAGCCCACAGAGAATGGAGAATGTTTCTCCTTCTCTCACCTGAACAGTCCTTAATATTTAGGGCATTCCAACATTCCAAACACTATTGCTATGGTCACAAGAGTTCTAAAAATTGCATCGAACTAAATATACACACACACCGACATGTGTATGCATGCAGACATGTAAAAGTGCTATAAACTGAATAAGGTCATTGTATTATATAGATGTCAATTTCTTGGTTGTGACATTATACAATTGTTTTGCAGTTACCCTTAGAAACTGGATGAAGGATTTATGAGGTTGATTGCTTTTAACTACATTTAAAACTACAATTATCTGAATATAAAAAGTATCTTAAAATGCATATTACAATAAGTATGTCCATATCATAAAATATTCAAGATAAAACCTGAGGGTCTAGCCTGCAGGCTAGAAATAAAAGGAAATTAAGAGGCATGAGCATTGGGAAGAAATAAGCAAATTTTCTTTATGTGTTCACAGTATGACCATCCATACACAAAACAAATTACATATGAATAAATTATCAAGTTGCTTAGAAGATGTGCACCAAAATTACATTGTATTCCTATATAAAGAATGGAAGAATTAAAAATGAATTTAAAATATGTACCAAAAAAACAGTCCTTGATGTAGCTAACAAAAGATGTGTAACACCTCATGGAGAAAATTACAGAAATTTATTAAAAGTTGTAACACCTAAGAATGTGGTGTCTCTACTACTAGAAATACTCAATGTTGAAAAAAAAAAAAAAGAAACTTTCTTAGCCATTATATGTATTCAATTCTATCTTTATCAAAATTATTATTCAACAAGCTATTCCAAACTATTTTGTAGAGAATACCCAACATTCTCATGAAGGAAAACAATGTGCTAAAGAGTCTTTTTCTATCACACAGCAAGATTCAACATAAAGCCAGATATTGTGATAGTGTGTTATCTACTCAAAAATAGGTAAGTAGACTAATGAAACAGAAAAAAAGCCCAAAATTATTTGCAAAAATTCTTGTTAAAGGACAAAGGCAACAATGACAATAGAATAGACTACTCAAAAAAAGACTACTCAGTAAGTGGTGCCACCTAAAATATACCATAATTGCAATAAATAAAATGAAGGAATAATTAAAGAGGTAATAGTCAAATAATGCAAACAAAAGGAAAGCAGAGTGTTTCTATTAATAGCTATGTGGTACAAATGAAGATCAAAAATCACTGAACAGGTAAATAAAAACATCATATAATGAACGTAAAACACATGAAGAATATACAATAATCATTAATGTGTATTCATGAAAATAGAAGCTAAATATTTTGCCATGATAAATTTTATGATCAAGAACATTAGGTCTGGGTTGGTGGAGTGGTTCATGTGGTAGAGTGCCTGCTTAGCAAGCAGGAGAACCTGAGTTCAAACCCTAGTACTGCAAACAGAAAAAAAAAGGAAGAAGATCATTAGGTATTAGGAAAGCCAAAATGGTACACCATATGGAAGTTCCTCAAAAAGCAAAAAACACAACTACCATATGGCTCAGCCATCTCATTACTAAGTGCCTATCTAAATGAAATGAAATCACTGCATCAAAGAATACCTACACTCTCATGTTAATTGCAGCGTTGTTCACAACAGCCAAGATACAGAATCAATTTACACATCAATCCATCAATGAATGGATAAAGAAAATGTGATATATATTATGTGCATATATGATATTCAGTGGTACATATATTTGGCATATATATTAGATATGTTATAAATACATAATATTAATATTCAGTAGTATATTTATACACATATATACCACCAAATATTATTTAGCCATTTACAAAAAGAATAAAATCAGTCATTTATTAAAATATAGGTAGAACCAGAGTACATTATGTTAACTGCAACAAACTAGGCACGGAAGGACAAAACTTGCATGTTCTTATTCATTTATGGAAGATTTAAAAAGCTGACCTCATAGAAGGAGAGTAGAACAGTGGTCACTAGGAGGAGTATGAGGAAGAGGAAATAGAGAGCTGTTAGATAAAGGTACCAAAATACAGATGGGAGGAATTCATTCAAGTATTCTATAGCAAAATAAGGTACCAATAGTCAGCAACTATTTCTGGTATGTTTCATGATAACTAAAAGTTCCCAACACTTAGAAATGATAAATATTTGAGGAGATAGAATGCTAGTTACCTTGAGTTGGTCATTGCACATCGTATACATGTGTCGAATTGGCATAAATATGTGCAAATATTATGTAGATTTAAAACATGAAAAGAACATTATGTCCTTCTTTACAACTGGGTCTCCTCACCACCCCATCTAAACTAATGCCACCAATTACTCTATAGCATGTCATACTGTCCACTTCATAAATTTATCAAAAAGTTTAACTAATTGCTGTGTTTATTTGGTCATTAGTGTTGTGTGTAAGCTCCTTTATCTGGTTTGCTAATGTATCCTTAGTATTCAAAATAGTGCCCAACATACAGCAGCCCTGAAATAATCTTTTATTGAATTATTTAAGTCATTAATACCTTTCATATTCTGGCATTTCAAGAAGAGATGGATTTTTGGAAAGAAAATCTCTTAGATTTTCTTTTCTTTTATGTCTTCTCCTTGATGTCATTTCTGTACTCTTAATAGAGGAGATAATAAAAATGTTATAAATTAAATTTAAACTCTGAACACAAAAGTATAAATTACTTATACTCTAGACATTAAAATATAGGAATTTCTCTATACCCTTCAAGTAAAATTATGATAAAATAAAATAGAAGTTCCCCTCTAGAAAAAGATCTCTGATTATAAAAAAATCTACATGATAACTTAAGAATTTATAATGTATTATAGAATTACAAAATTGTGCTTGTTGGCATTTCTTTCTGTTTCATATTGTAATAAACTAAAACATAAGTAATCATTTCTAGACACATGAACTCTTAAATTTGTTAACTTCAAATTCAAAACTCATAGGAAACTTACCCTTCCAAACTCTAATATTACAGCTTTGAACTTCTTCCCAGGTTTGCTTAACTTTTTACCAAGAGCATTGTCCTTATATTTTATTTTTTTTACTCCAAGAAGGGACTCATTCCTCCTAACATGAAAAGATAAAGTTAGTCAAAAAAAATCAGCAAAAATGTACAAAACTACCCCAAAGTAATAAATCTTTAATGAATGCTGTCATTGTAATTATGCAAAATGGATAGCCAAAACTGCTTGTGTTCTATGCATAAATTAGACAGTGATCTCTGTTCCTCAAGGAATAGCTGGACTCAAAAGAGCAAAATGTTAGTCATGCTATGAAATGCAATGACAGCTGATGTGTCTACAGGAAAATGAGAGGAGTTCTCAGCATGATATAGGTGGAACAGGACTGAAAATGAATATGGACACTTCCCTTTACAACTGAGACAAAAACTACATCAGAGTGACCCCAGACAAGCTAGCTTGCTTCCAACAGGTTTCTGTCTTTTTTGATTCCATCCTATTAAGCTATCAGTCACTATTGCCTTCTGGATACCAACAGGAGCTCAGCATTTCAGATGTCTGCTAAACTTTCTCCCTTCCCCCAATCATCTATAGGAGTTCTCAACCTTACTTTCTCATTCATGAACTCCAGTGGACTCCCCTTCTCCAAATACCATAAAGTCTTTCATTCTCTTATCACCTAATTTTCCTGACATTTATATATTTTTTGGAATTTACATTTCATTTGGTAAGCATTGCCAGGTACAGCAAAATCCTGCTATCACATGATAAATGGGATCCAAAAAATTAAATTGAGTAAAACATAGGTGCACAGCAATGGAAGGTTAATGCAGTAGCTGGGCAAGTCTAGATAGCTAGCTCCCAAGGTTGGAATATACTTTATGATTCAAGTCCATTTTGGTTACAGTGGTGGTTAACTTCTTATTTCAAATTTTCTGAAGATGTTCATGAATCCTGTGGTTGGTTAGGACTCCAGCCCAGTTGCAGCAATTCCAAGAATCTCCCAGTTAGCTGACATTTACTTTGGCAACTTTGTTTGGCTAAGCTTGACAGCTTGGATCAATGACTGTTGGAGCCTTGAGGATGTAACCTTTCCAACTTGCATCCTGAGATCCTTGAGACTGGTTGCCTGCCATCCTCCAGCCAGATTACTCTCTTCTCTCTGTCCTCCCTATCCTACACCACACCAAATGCATGATGGATGTTATTCCAGAAAGACATGGGAAGAAGAGGTCAAAGATGTCTACACTCATCAACTGTCTTGGCGTTTTCCTCCATGTACTGTATAACCTTCATCCACTGAGAACATTAAATTCCTCCACTCATTGACCTCTTCACAGCTCTGTGATGCTCTGACTTCTGGCTTTCTGTGTGGCTTATGGTATATTTTAATAGTCCATATTTTTAAATTTTTATATAGTCAACATTACAGTATTAATTTTTTACTTCACAGCTTATTCATTATTTTGATTACTTAATTTGATACTTGTCTCTGGTAAGTGAGTCTAATGGCTTTCTGCCTGTTATTTCACAAGCGTAACTCTAACATTTTACTTGACAGTACAAATCTTCTTTTTTTGTTCTTTTTATTGTTTTCAAAGATTTTTCATTATTCTAGCCCATTTTAGAATTAATGTGATTGGGAGCTAGAGGTATGACTCAAATGGTAAAGCACCTACTTAGCAAGCACGAAGCCCTGAGTTCAAACCCAAGTACCACCACCAAAAAAAGAATTAATCTAATTGGAATTTCGAGAAACTAGCAAATTAATTTAAAGATAATAAAACCTTTCTGAAAGTCTGTCTGTCCATCAAGAAAGGTACTGCCTCTTACATATCTAAGTAAAAATGTTTAGTCTTTGTCCTAATCTCTGATAAATTTAATCATGTACTCCACACAAATGGGATCATTTTTCCATCACACTTCCTAGTTGGTATAGAAAAGCTGTTGATTTTGCATCTAACAAAGTTCTATTAGTTCTAATGATTTTTCAATTATCTTTTAAGTTTAAAAAACAATTATTTGCAAATATTTCCATTTTTCGGAGTACTTTACTGCAGATTTCATTTAACAAACATTTTTGAAACTCTGTAATATGATAATCATGAAAGTTGCAATTCTAAATTCTATTTCTTTTCTTCATTTACTAGCAAGAACTTTCAGAATATTAAATGACAGAAGGAATGACAGATTTCCACATGGCAGAGCTTATTGCAACAGAGAATAATCTTCTGATCCTAACTGGCTACGAAGTTCTTGAATTTCACCACAGGACTCTCCAGCATCTCCTCAAGGCTGCTTTGACTACCAATGATAATTGTATTTGCAGATTTCCTTCTGTATTTGCATTGAGAATGAAATCTGTATTTTCACTGCTATAACTACATGCTACTATTTTTTTGGACTTTTTTTCTATATACTGCCAAGTAAGATTGACCCACTAATTTCTACTTTTTTATTCTCTTTTTTTAAATTATTATCAGAGACTGGTGTACTCAATTTACCAGGAAACTTTATTACTCGTGTTTTAAAATAGCTTTATGTGAAACAAAAATTACCTATTTCTTTAAAATATGAAAGAATTACCCTAAACAAATTTGAGCTATACAAATTTTTTTTACTGCTTCGTTCCATTGTTAATAAATTTTTCCAGATCGTCATTACCTTCAATTAGATTTTTTTAATTTATTAACATTAAATTTTACATACTATTATCTAATATTTGCTTAACTACTGATGATTATTTTCTCTGTGGATTATTTGTGTTTCTCTTTTTCTTATTATGCTGTCCAGAAATTTACCTAATTTATTCATATTCTTAAAGAACTATCTGTTTAGTTATTGATAGGACCATCTTACAACTAACTATAATTGATTAATTTTATTGTTTTCCTCTTACTACTTTTAGGTTTTATTACTTCTCTAATTTTTGACTTCAACAAAAGTTCATCTAATTTTATGTTTCTTATTTTATAATAGAAGCTTCTAAAGCTAAGAATTTGTCTCTAACTACTACTTTGGCTATATTTGCCATGTAGACCCTCTCATTATTAATTCCATTTTTGCTTTAAACTGTTTTAGTCTCTATTGACAAAATAAATTAATCTTAATAATTATATTATGTACATCTCCTATATCCTTCCTAATTTGGTCTGTTTTTAAGCAGCATTTTAAACTCTCAATATTAATATGCCTCTTTCAAGTTAACTTTCATCAGTTATTTCCATATGCTCTGATCTTTTATTAAGTAGAACATGAAATTTTATGAAATATCTTCATTGTGATTTATAAACACCATCAGTAGACTTATCAACTTTGCATGTGAAAGGGTAACATTAAAAATCACTGATGAAGGGGACTATTCCTTAAGTAGTACCAGGATAACTTGAACTATACTTTTTAAGTTCAAGTCCCCATGCCAAAATAAATCTCAAATGCACTAAAACATTAAACCATAAATCATGAAGCCATGAAGTTGGAAAAACTGTATTTCTGTTGCACTATGAGAAAATGTCTATGTATAAACCATATTAGGCATATGAACATAACAGAAAATAGATATCAGCATCTCAGTAGAAATCACGATGTTGCCTCTGACCTTTTCCTACAAAGAGCATCCTAAAACATCTGCTCAGTCTTGACAACTGAAATTATAACCTTTGTTTTGCACTCCTTTATACCGCTCAATCTGCAGCCCCAGGTGTTTATTATACCACTGTTCAGCTTCCAAGCCACTCAGTCTGTTTCCCCTTTCAGAATATCCACTAACCTTAGATTGAACTTCCGCAGCCAGACCTTCAAATTTCCCTGAACATTGAAAATGTCTTCTGATTTTCTTTGTGATCAAGAATACTACTTGAAACTTCTAAACATCTAGTTTGGGCTATTTTTTTAATTGAATGGAAACTCCCTAATTCTGACCAATTCTCTGATTACCATTGACCTGCTTCATTTAATGAAAGCAATTTCCTCCTTTATCTTTTGAAAATATGAAGCCCATATAGTCCCAAGTTTTTTCTCTAATGAAGTGTCTGTTTTAGAAAGACTATATTCCTATGTGGTTTTAAAGAAATGTTTCTCTTCTCTTTTACTGCCATTTTTACAAGCTCATTTACTGACATTTAGCTTTATTAAAAAGGGATGGATAGATTTATGCCCACTGGTAAAAGAAAAGCCCACCTGTCAGTTGTTAGAAGATGCATCTGACATCTCTCATAATTGGCATGAGACATTATCATTTTCTTTGGGAGCAAAGAGAATCGTCCAGGCTTAGAAAATAAGAGGGGCAGCTTTAAAGTTTACTACTTCTATTTGAGGAATTTCTCATTCACATACAAAAATGGAAACCCCAAGGAATGGTTCTGCTCATTATGTTAGAAGAATTAGAAGCACATGATACATGACCAAAATTGTACTCTAAACCTTGTGTGAGGAAGAGCTGAGCTAGAGAAATGCTGTTATCCATCCTGACCCAACAGAAAAAGATCTATTTTCTATTTCCTGCTAAAAATATGAACATGCTCTAGTTGCATAAATATTTTTACATTTATTTATTTACCCACACAGACATAAATCTTCACTATCTCCCAGGTGTCAACTGCATATACCCCACCCTTTTTTTCATCTACTTTATGTGTCTTAAAGTGACAGTGTTGCTCATTTTTTAAGGTTGTTAACACTTATGAAACTGATGTTACAATACCTTCTCATGAAGTCAGTAACAGGAGCAGTTATCTCCACTACAAGGTGAAATTTTTCATCATTCATGCATTTAAGCATAACTTGGATAAAAAATTCCAGGAACCTAGGTCTATGCTTAAATTTCATAACTGTAAAAACAAGAAAATTCACATACAGTTATTAGTGCTAAAGGGTTACTAGTGTTAATCATTTTGTTTCAGCTGGCAGGTTGTTTAATCTTTTAAATTCCTTACTATAAAAGTAAGAGTAAATGTCATAGAAACTCTTGTTTTTTTCTAAGTCAACTAATCTTTTACAATCTTCATTTCATTTACTTTCCAAAAATCTTAGTGTTGAAAAAAATTTAATTGAAGTTGTTTCTATCATATGACTAACTGAGAAAAATGCTGGTAACTGTCCTAACTAGCTTCTCTTATTTTTATTACGTCTCACTCTAAGTTGAGCAATAATATTGCAATCTCTTCATGGCTGAACTTAAAAATCACTTACCCATTTTTAAATGCCCTCGTTTTTATAAGCTTCATATAACACTGTTCATTACCAAAATAAACCACCATGAAGGTTCTTTCTTTCCACACCTTGAGTCAAGTACCTACTTATGTCTGTTTCATTACTTCACAATCAAGATTATTCTAAATGGGTAAGCACCCAAGATATTCTGCCTATACCAGGTGAAATCTTTAGAATCTATAGCATAAACAATCCTCAGTGGTAAGTGAACAGCCTATGCACATTCAGGTCACCCACCTTCCTTCACAGCACCTTTCACAGACCAATTTAAAACCACAGGGTAAAGAAATATAGGGTCCTCTGTTCCTGAGAGCTCAGATGCAATGTCTAAAGTTAAAAAAAAATAGTAAGTTCTAGCTTCGGTTCTGTTCTGAACAACCAAAAATAAAAACTTTGGAGATGAAAAAAAGGAAAATACTCAAGCATACTCAAGTATGTGCATTAAAATATCAACTGTATTATTACATGTTAGAGATAAAAGAAATGCAATAACCCCAATCATTTCCTTTCATTGTTTTCCCCTAACAGCTAGGGGGTATACCACCAAAACCTGCCAATTAATTCTATCTTAATAAAATTATCCTTGAAAGACAGTATAGTACTTCATAGCCATTAGAGCCAGGTTGTCACCCCGAGGCTTTTTAATTGTGAAACATTGGGAAGTTACCTATCATCTCTGAGCCAGTTTCCTTATCTTTAAACAGTACCTTCCTTGTATCATTGTTCTATATGGGTTATGTGATTTTTTAATGTGTATAAAACACTTAAAATAGTGTCTGGCACATAGAAAACACTGTCCAAAACTATTATTTTTATTATTGTTTTTATTGAATTTACTTGTTGGCTAGTAATATTATACTGTGCTTCTTAGTAAAATGTTCTATTGGTACTATGAAAATAAAATTCACATTTCTGGAACACTTGACATTGAAGGGATCAGGCTTTTTATATGTAACAAGATAACTAGGTTTACTAATTATGAGAATAATAAGACATTGGATTCATGTCATAAATTCAGCATAAGGCAGGCATGAACACACTGAAAGCAGAGTGAGACAATGGTATGACACCAATATTTGAGGCACACAGTAAGAAAGGTTAGGTGCAACATGGAATTCTATACATATAGTTAGTTCCCGAAACACCATGGGGCCAATGTAGGATACTACTCTCTTCTTTTTCTAGAAGGTTTTTTTAAGTGTACTTTTAAAAAATGTGACAGTACTAATCATCATCAGAAGCAATCGTTTTCACAGGTAACTTTCCAAACCTGAAAATCCAAAATACTAATCATTGTATCAACACATTAGTCCATTATGAAATTCCTACAGTGCAACAATCTGAAATTAAACTGAAATTTCACCCTATTTCCTACTCTAGTAGGCCATGGTTCAAACCAATTCCACATTAACACTCCATGCACAATCCCATTGCTTCCTGGTTGCATTTTTTTACCTTGGGAGTAGTGATTCTCAAGTTTGGGTCACCTTTCTCCTACTCCATAACTAACATATTAGCAACATTTGCTTCCCATGTGGTTATCACAACTGAGGGAACGAAGTGCTATGCTTCTATAAGTAGATTCCAGGACACTGCCCAACATCCTACAGTGCCTAGAAAAGTCCCTCCCCCACCCACCCCTCCACCCCCTGCCACTACAAAGAATTATATGGACCAAAATAACAACAGTGTCAAGTTTGAGGGGGAAAAAAATGCCTTTAGAGCCTGAAGACATAGGCTCAAGTCCAAGCCAGCTATGATTCTTAGCAAATCACTTATCATCATAAAGCACCCCTACAATAAGTAGTTAGCAACCCCTTATTAACAAGGCATCATTAGAATTAACAACATAATGGAAAATAACTGTAAACTTTTAAGGGTTTACAAAATGCTAATCTCATCTTAATCCTTTTAACGAAATATTTTCCCATTTTAAGAAACATGCTGAGCAGATGAATACAGAAAGAAAATATTACATTGCTTTGTCAACTTGAGTAGGTGGTTCTCCAACAAGGCCAGCTGTTCATTTAACTTTTCAGGCAACAGTATCTGCAGTGGCTTCTTCATTTTAAAAGTTTTCTTAGAACCCTAGAAACATTGGTTAAATGTCAGAAAGCATTTAACATGTTGTAAAAATTCTCATTTTCAAATAGCTTTCTTTAAGTTACATTTTTATACTTTCGTATTTGGTAAACAAATTTATGACTTACTGGGCTAAAAAATATCAATTAATAATTAGTAATCAGAGATACTACATTGTACTAAAAGCCAGACACAGTACCAAGAGTTTCATGGAGAGTGGCCAATATGTTTTTTTTCCCCTCTCTATCCTTCCAGGAATCCCCACCCCTTTAACAAGCCTCTCCAGTACATTCACTCTTCTTAAAGCAGCAAAGGCTATGTTTCCAAAACTCTTCAAAAGAAAATCCCCAGTCTGCCCTCAGCAACGTATCCTTTTATTCTTTTCTTTCCTGTCTTTTTCCTAGAATGAGGTTCTTCACAACTCAGCTAATTACCTTTGCCACTTATCCTTTCAATGAGACATAACAGGATCAGTAATTTGTGGATTAAGGACTGGCCTGTCTGTGCTCAGGCTCCCCACCCTTGTTTTCTCTGAACTTGAGAACTGACCTGTCAATTCTCCTGTCATTAAAAAAAAAAAAAAAGCTTCTTTATGTTCAAAAGGACTTTAAGAAACTATGAGGATTTCTGGCTCTAACAAATTTACAGTCCCTATAACCTTAGCTAGAGGGATGGAAGTATCAGAGCCCTCTGTTGGACCAAAGGCTCCATGACAAAGTTCTGTCCCACAATAATGTGAAGGAACCAGGTCCTAAGTCAAAGCCTAGATGACATAAAGGGGCTAGCTGATGGACTCTGAGGGTAAACATTTGATGAAAAACAAAAAACAAAAGCAAAACTTCAAATTAATTCTAACTTAATTAAAACTGCAAGAGACAACATAACCCCCAGTGCCAAAAAAAAAAAGTCATCCAGTAATGCAGTAGTGATTTGTGAAGTCCTTTTTGGCAAACGGTTACTTGGACAGTAAGTAATGCAAGTAACACTTACTTGCTTTCTATCCCAGCATATACTAGAGGCAAAAATGGGGCTAATCTGACTGAAATAATGTCAGAGGAAAGACCCCATATACCTAGTGTGCCTCAGAGACCCAATAAACTAAGTAACATTTCAAAACTTCATCTACAAAAAACATTTAACCCACACAGTTTCAAAGAAAGGCAATAAAGCTTAAGCTCTATAAGACCCATGCTTAGGAGGCACATATTAAAAATGAGCCTCAGAAATTAGTCTCATAAAGAAGAGAATGTGGGTATCACAGTGAGTTTCAGAAATCTACTCTAACCATGAGGTAAAAAGCTCCAACATGTACTTACAATAAAATCTTAGATTCAAGAGACTTGAGAGGGCTTTCAGTTCAATGTTCAACTGAGTATAGAAAGCGCTGTCATTACCTAACTGATGGTGAGTACTGGTAACAGACACCATTAGACAGGCTTTTCGTGTTCTTGATCATAACCCCCCAAAATTTTTTAAAGTTTTTAAAATTTTTAAATAAGCTCTTTATTACATTTCTTCTATGTAAATAGGACAATTTAAAAAGTGACCCATTTTCCAGTGACCCTTTTCCCTAAAAGACACAATGAAATATATGTGTAAAAATGAGAAACAAACAAACAAAAAATTACCTCGTCTGCCATTTCTTCTGGTTCAATATTACCAAATAGAGATTTGCAGCCTGAAGTGATGTCCAACATCTTTTTTCCATAATTTATAATCATTATTGCCAGCTCATATTCCTTCCATGAACGTAGAATCTAATTAAAGTATTAATTATCTCTGTTGGACACTGTTGTCTGTTTTCAAGTGTAATGCATCATCTCTCCTAAATTCGAAGTCCCATAAATTATTTGCATTTAAGAACCACCCCCCTGCTTTTGTTTAAAGAAAACTGGAAGCTTACCTCCCCAGAATTAAAAACACATGATTCTACCATTTTAAATAAAGGACTAATAACAGGATCCCTTCAGTAATGGATTCCCTATCTTTTTAGGCCATGTAGCCATATGCTTTTTGGTACAATAGTTAAGAAACTACTTCTATTCACAAAAATCCCTTTTGAAACAGTCATTTATAAAGGTAACATACCAGGTACCTTGAGTTGCTCTCTATGGAAAACAGCACAATGACTGACCTCAATGTGCTTTAGGGGGTCAAAGATTTATAAGACATTCTAGTACCAGACTGGGCTAGAGAGAAGCTGTTTGGAACGAATTCTCCAAATACCTAGGGGAAGCACACACTGCAATAATCAAAGAAAGAAAGGCCACTCTGCCACTCATCCACATTCCCTAGTGCCAGGGGTTATTCTCTGGCCTTCTCTAGTCTCACCCTTACCTGCTTCTGAAATCATCTTCTTCTGCTTTAATCTTATAAAATACTAAACCAAGTACTAAACATCATCATGTTTCAGGACTTCCTGCCGTTCCATGACTGAGTCATTTCCATTTCCTAGCACACCTGTCCTCCCCTTATTTATACAACTTCACCTTGTCATTAAAACCATGGCTCTAGCATCAACCCAAAGAAAGCTTCCCAGGCAAGTGATCTGATTTGCATACACCCTGCCGTACTGATGGGGACACATTCATTGTAAGCCCCAAAGGGCAACTAAGAGTATAAATAAGTTTGTATGACTTTATTATGTGTAGATACATTCTATTGAGTGAGTTAGTGTTCAAGATAAGTAATACCTGTTACTTCCTATGCAGGGAATAGGGAATGATTATCTAGACACAATAAGAGCCTAATGCTAAGAAGTGGAAATATTTCTGTGGGACCAGGGCAATGTGTTAAAATATAAACTAATGCTGACTGTGAAACAGAGTGCACAAAGGAAAATTGTGAAGTAAATTTTGAAAAGGTAAATGGGGCTAGACCCTCCAGAGCCTTGAATGTCTGGCACAATAGTCATTATAAAATGTATATAAAAGGAAGAAATTTTTGTTGCTAGAAAACAGAAATGAGCTAATGTGTGCTCTCCACTCTTAATTTTGCTTTCTGATATGCTTAAGTCCTAGGCTTATAGAAAACTGTAGAATCTTTTCCTTTGTTTTAATATACTAACAGAAAATGGCAAATGATAAGAAATTGTCTAATCAAGAAAAAAACTGAGGAACAGTCTATTCAACATGCCAAATGAACAGAAATGAACAGTATGTCAGATGTTTAGCATAACAACTTTAAAACAATGCAAAAATAATGAAACATTTAAGATGACAAATCTCAGAAGTGCCACCTTATTTGAAATTCTACTAATTTAGGAGAAAACTCCATCTTAAAGAAAAAAAAGATTAAGTCATGTGAAAAGATTACTGATTTTTTAAAACAGAACAGGGCAAAAAAATAGAGCTGCTTGACTAATTGAGATTCATGTGTCCTAAGAGAAAATCTAACATTGTTTATATCAAATAAACACCTAAAACCTGGGATTCAGGGCTAGTCCAAGATTCTGGGATTACAATCCCATGTTACAGGAAGTTTCTAGAATGACAATGGAAAGCATATCAGTTAGGGATAAACCCAACTCAAGTATCAAAATCCTGACATTAATATATTACATTTTTAATGTTCAGAACATTTCTGTCACAACAGTCCAATCTACATTCAGGGTCACTTCTAGAATTATATTACCTGGATTTCAATGATTCCTCAAGAAGAGTGATCATGATTGGCAAGTAAGGAAGTGCACAGAGCCAGCCTAAGACACTGTGTGCTAAGGGGGAAATTTTGTCTAAGGCCAAGAGGCAGTATGGAAAATCAAGGAACTCAAAGGCTTCCAGATGCTAGTTGGAATCCTATTTAATCTAAGTCAGCACTCCCTTCCATCTTCTATAGCAGATGTCCAAGCCCTTCTTTCTTCTCAGATTTCTGGAACCCAACCTTATTCTCCACCCCTCATTGTCCTTCCTTCCTATAATGGAAATGGAGGGGAGCTAGCTCACCCACCATCCATAAGCCTATCTACACACTCACCAGTAACTACCACCACCTCTCCTCCAGTCTCCTGTCCAGATCAGTCACTCGCACCTAGGATGGGATCCCATTGCCTCTGCCTTCAGAGATCTTGCTCTAGTCGTCACCCCCCTCCACTCCTACATCCTTCTGCACTCCAAGGTCCTCCCTATCAATATTCAAATGTTTTAGAGGACCTAGAGAGGCAGAATTGGCATTTGGGGGTTTGGATGGTTGGTTGGTCCGTTGGTCGGTCAGTCAGTCAGTCAGTTGGTTTTAGAAGAAAAATTGCTACCAGAAAGTCACAAACTTCCTTGGAATAGTTTCATTGTTCTGGAGGAAACCCTGCCATAGCTCCTGATAGTTTTTTAAATTTAAAGTGAGCAGCTTGTGTTTAGGGGCCGTAAAGGTGTGTGCAAGCTCCCCTTCCCTTATTTGAAAGAGGCACTCTTCCTTAGAAATACTTCTTGACAGAAGAGTGTGGGGAAGAGGCCAAGCAGATAAATATATTCTGAAAAAAAGTGGCATTTGAAAGGGAACTCGGGGCCCGGCATAGCACTAAGGAATGTATGTGTGTAACTGTAGCATTGGAAAAGGCAAGAGGTGTTTTTAATGGTTCTACCATGTGACAATGACAGTACTAATACAACAGGAAGAGTCTCAAGGTTGAGAAAAGCTCCGGAACAGCAGAATAGGTTGTGGATAACCTGACTAGTGTTTGGAAGTTGGACTGGCTCCTTAAACTAAGTACACGGGCGACTGAGATTCATGGATAATTCTCCTCCCTTCTCATGGCACACATTGTCCCCAGGTGACATCATCTATCTCTATTGCTTCAATTGTAGTCTCCCTATATAATCCCGTTATCTTTATACATATTGGGCCTCTCCTGAACTCCAGGATTATAGGGCCAATTACATAAATGGCCATCCTATACTACTTCAAAATTCAATCTTTTTCATTGTCTTCTCTCTCCTTACTACACAAAAGTACTCCTCATTCTGGGTCAGTAAAAAGTGTTGTATTTACCCAGATATGCAGACAGGGGAGTTGGATATTACGGATTTCCCCTTCCATCTTGTCCTTCGTTCCCCTACTCTCAATAAATTTCTCAATTTTATTCCATAAATAACTCTTGGATCCTTTCCATCCTCTTTGACTCCCATTTCCACACTAGTTCTTTCACCTCTAACTGATCCCCTGCCTCTGGCTTTATAATCTATAATTACTAACTGTTGTACAACAAGTTATTTCTTTTTCTAAAATGCAAATCTCATTTTGTTGTTCCTGAGTTTGAAACCCTTCGATGGCTCCTTTGACCTCAGAAGATGGCCCTTTATCACCTGGTATCTGTTCACTACTCCATCTTTTGAGGCAGCTCAAATATTTAACCATTTCCTCTATGATTAAAAATAAATTTGATTCTCCATTTCGAATACTAAAATTGCTTCATATTTTCTCATTGATTGCTCCTGAGGCAATCAATGTTTATAATCCTGTATCTATCATATATTCTTCCCAACCTAGTATCTGTCTTTAAGCACTGCTTACAGCGTAGTGTCTTGCCATAAAAATGCATTGAATATCATGTAATCTAGTAATTTATATTTTCTGTGTATTTTGTGCTTTATTAAGGAAGGTATCTCCTGGCTCTAAGGCCATTCAAATATCCTTGAATCCATCTAGACCTTATTTTATGTGTGGTATGAGGTAGGGCCCTGGCTTTACTTACTTTCAAATGATTAGTTAGTTGTACCAGGACCTATCATTAAATAAATTATTATAATAAGCTACAGTTTTTTTTTCAATGAATCAAACTACCACCTTTGTAATATATTAAGTTGTGTCTGTTTCTGAACTATCTAATATCCATTGAATTATTTGCCCACTATTCTGTTAACCCCATTTTTTATTAAGGTGGCCTTATGGTAAATTTTAATATCTATTAAGAACTTTTAAATTATTCTAACCAGTTCCATATAAGCTTTATTGGAATTCTAATTACAACTGCATTAAATGTATGTGTTATTTTGGAAGGATTTACATTTCTATGACAGCAAATCTTCCTGTTCAGGAATTTGTTGTGACCTGCCATATGTTCAGATCTTATTTTATATCATTCGCAAGACTTTGCAGTTCTTTTATTTAGGTTCTTTGACACTTTGTTAAGCTTTAAATATCATGTATTATAAGTGTGTACTCTACCCTCTCCATTTCTGATTATTGCTGAATTTTTAAATATCTGATTATAAGTATTTTATATAGAATTGCTTCATGTAGTCTCTATAATTCTGGTAATTCTTTACTAGATCCTCATGAGTTTTTCAGACCTCTACAATTACAAATAAGTTATAATTTTCTTTAATATTATAAAATCATTTCATATCTTCATCTGTCACATGAGAAAGAACCTCTGAATATACTGAATCTCAATGTTAAGAGTCAACATCTCTTTCCTGTGCCTGATTTTTAAGAAAATGGCCTCAGAAATTTGCCATTTAGCATGATATTTGCTGTAATATTTGGGTAAATGTCTTTATCATTATTCATTGGCTTTCTTCTATTCCTAACTTATTAGAAATTTTATTAGGAAAGGTTGCTAAGTGTTATCAAATGCCTTTGTGGTATTTTTCATATAATCTTATATGAAGATTCTTCTTTAATTTGCTGCTATAAAAAATTCAAGATTTGTTTTTAATTTAGACTTGTTTTTTTTTTCAGTGCTGTGAATCAAATGCAGGGCAGACTTGATCATTAATACTTGACAATGAGACTGTACTCGAAACTGGCAAGTGACAACATGCCATCCAAGAATGAGGAAGTGTTACCCGAAAGAATCAAAGGATACTACCTAATGTTTCTCTGTCTTGTTTAATGTTTGGGGTCCCTGAACTCTGCTTTTCCTGGTATGAAAAGTATCATTTCCTCCTCTATTTTGCTTCCATTTTCCCAGTACCTTTGTCTATCCGTTTTATTTTCAAACTGTTATTTATCAGTTGGTTCTAAGTGAAATGATATATATTAGAACTTATATTTTAGCCCACCTGGCAATCTCTGTCTTCTAAGACCACTCACACTTAATGAGTGATTAATATTCTTAATTTTATTACTTTCATCTGAAATACTATCTCTTTTTCCTTCTCATTTTTGTAGAACTAGCCACTATTTCCTCCTGCCATTTTTTGCTCTTGGCTCCTCTCTTTCTTCCCACTTAATTTTTTTCTCCCTTCAATTTAAAAACATACTATGTCTTAAAGTTCTTCTCATGGTGACATGTTCCCAAGTCATCTGTATATGTGTGAATATATATATACATATATAGGTATATATACACTTGTGTGTATATATACCTATATATGTATATATATATTCTATCAAAGAAAACAATGGTTTTACAATACATGTATTTTATGTGAAAATAATACTTTTATACAACCATGGTCCAAGAATTTACCTGCTCCTATCACCCCAAGCAGGGTGGAAGTTTTAGTTCTGGGTTAGTAATAAGTTTTTCGTTCAAGGATGACTCTTCTCTATCAAGAATCCCTGCTTAGCATTTATATTACAAAGCCCTAGACACGTCATTATTACCTATTTAATTTTAATAATACATATATTGCAGTATTCCTTGTTCTCATTATTCCTCTCCTTTTTGTCTTTCCCTATCTTGGGATTTATGATCTGAATCAACTGTCATTTGATAAAGTACTTCCACAAGTGTTTTCCTCAGATAAGTACATGGGCAGAATACTTTTCAAATTCTTGCACTTCTGAAAAATGTTTATTTTTGCCCTCAAAAATGAATGATATGCCTCCTGGTTATTAATTTTAGGACCTTAAGCTTTTTCCCCTCAGGGTTCTACAAATGTTGTTACAGTGTTTTTACTTTTAGCAATTCTGATAAAAAGTCTGAACATAATACATTCTCTTTCTATTGCAAATAACCTGTTCTTTGGGTTTCCAAACTTTAAGATTTGTCCTTTTACTCAGGAATTTCACCAATATCTTTCTACATGAGTGTTCTTACATTAATTTTGCCTGGGACTCAGGGAGCCTATTACTTCTTCATTCGTTTCTTTTACTACCCCCAGATTCCTCTTATTTTCATGTCCTAACATCTAGATCTGTCTTCTGAATTTATTTACTACCTCTAGGTAATTCTGGTCTACACTGTTAAGGTATTTCTTAAGGTACTTGGTTCAAGAAACACTGTAACTATACTATTCATCCAATCTGTTTGTTTATGGCTGGTTGGTTGGTTGGTTGGTTGGTTGATTTGGGGTTATCTAATTGTTTTTTCTTGAATGTTTTCTTGTCTCATCTCTTCCCCAAGTCATCTCTGGTCTTGCCCAACATGATGCAGAGTAAGTAGCAGTAATTATTTTAATGTTTGGCTTGTTATTCCTCCCTTGGGCTACTAAGTTCCCTTCAGTAAATGATTACTTTTCTCTCCCTGCTAATATATATGTTCTCTCAGCATTAGCACCGACCAGGTCATAGAGGTCCCTCCAAGTGCTTAACCAGTGGGAAGAGGAGTATTATTTTCTGCTCTTGATGTGAGGTCATGAGCAGCCAGCAAATAATGGCCTCTTTGCTGAAGTAGAGGGTAGAAGCCTCTCTGTTGCCAGAGGCAAGCTTAAGCCCTAACTGACATGACAGAGCAAACCAGCCCATTATGCAGAATTCCTCCAGATCTCAGGACAAAACAGAAAGGACCTGTGAGAACTACCTGAAACAGACAGGCAGATATGGTGGCCCTTCTTTGAAGAGAATCACTGGATTCTGTCAATAAAGCCACTGGGGGACCACATGGTGCTGGTTTCTGAGCCAAGGAATGAGAATAAATAAGCCTATCTTTCTGCCTCTGGTCTCTTGGTTCTTTCTTATTTCTAAGATAGCACTTTTTCTAGATAGCCCAGCCTAAGATACCCTTCTAGGCTTTAACCAATGGGCCTGAACAGGCTATTTTAAACTCTTGAACTAGGAATTCAAGAGGAGCAGCCCAAGATGTGTGCTTATTTTGCCATCTCCTCAGATTTCCTTCTCTCCCACACACTTTTTAGCTATAATAACATTTCTCTACTGACTCTTCTCATTAACTGAAAGATACAATACAACCTGGTTAACTCTTTCAATTGTTTCACACATTTGCAAAAAAAGTAAAACACATATGTGGGAATACACTGATTCAATTTAATGCTAGCTAGGCACACCTACGGATGTAAAATAAAGTCCTCTTATGACATTACTCAAATCAACAGGTTGGAAATCCAAATACTACACATGAAGGATCTAGCCCCACTGAAACTAGCTTATTCAGTTGTAGACTAAAACTGGCCATGAGTCTCTAAGGGCATCTGCTCACATGACTGCTCATGCTCACTATCTACCATGTTGTTTCCCTAACATCCTTTTCAGTTCTCTCTTCCCCTTGTGCAGGGTCACCCATCTAAAGCAGGACAAGCCACAAACTCCTTCGATTCTTTTCTTTTTCACTTGTGTCACTTAAAGCTTCATAGAATTATATTTTATATGTGTATGTGTGTGTGTGTTCTGCCTCCCCACACTAAACTATAAACTGTGTTAGTTTGATTTTTTCCTTTTTTATTAATATATAATAGTTGTACAGGAAGATATATTATGACATTTATATATGTGCTTATAATATATCTTAATTAAATTTGTCCCCTGCATCATTCTCTCTTATCCCCCACCCCACCTTTTTAGAACAAGTTCAACAAGTTTAGTTGTTCTATTTGCATACATGAATACAAAATACATCCACCATATTCACCCTCCTCTTCACCATCTCTGTTTACCCTCCCACTGGTACCTACTCCAAGACAGGTCCTGTTTTACTTTCTTGTCTTTCATTTTTTTTTGAGTATATATTGATTGTTCAAGGGGGTTTTGCCTTGGTAATTCAGATATACATATACAGTAACATATATACATGCATATGTATATATAAACATGTATACATGTATATGTATATAGAGAGAGCTTTAATCAGATTAACCCCCTTTATTATTTACTCTTTCACTATTACCTGATTCTGCTCCCTTGCTATTCAACAGTTTACAATGCATCACATTATACCATCTTCATACACAGATGTATTACATTTCAATATTATTCCGTTTTTTTTAATGAATTTTAATGACTATAGGTAAATTTTTCTCAGTACCCAACAAACCTTGCCTCACATCCAACCAAATCACCAATTATTTTGCTTGCTTGGCATTTGAGTTTTTAACTTTTGCTCACACAACATACCTAAGTCTCCCAGATGAAGCCTTCCCCAACTGCCCCAGCCCTTCATGGTCTTTCTGCATCTGTTTATGTCACCACCAACCATTAATGTCCTAAGCTAGCAATCTGGTGGATTTATTATGCTTCTCCTACAGCTACTATAAAGTTCTCTCTCTTCTCTCATATACCAAATGTCCAGAACAGTATCTGACACATATAGGTAATCTGTAAATATTTGTTGGAGGAGTGAAATAAAAATGAAAAAATCAATTCATATTCTGACCACACCTATCTTTTCTCCAGCTTATATCTCCAGATATGTTATTCTTAATTGTTACAGTCTGAATTTGCCTTCATAGCTTGTCCTCTGTTGAGTTCTGCACACCAGCCTCCAAATTACTTTGAAACACTACCTAGTCTGTCCTTTCCTTCAGATCTAACATCTTTTTCTCATGATACTATGACAACCCTCATTTCCTGATTAACCCTTAAATCATAAACATGATGCTTGCTCTCTGGGGATCTTGTAGGCCTGACTACCCTAATTCAACTCCTGGGCTGAGACACTTCAGGTTTGCCTGCAGGTTGCTCTGGGATCACAACCTGACCACATGATCTGAAGATTAACTGCAACACTATATGCATACACCTAATGTTTTAGGGTTCTGAAACCTGTTCTATGCACCAAAAATAATTTTCCGAAAACATACAAATGCTATTTCAGTAACATCAGGCTTTAGTTTGGGAAGCACCACACTTCAAAAAATTCAACAGCAGATTTCTATCTTGAATGTTTAGACATTACATTTTCTGTTTCAACTAAAAAAATATTTCAGGAATGCTATTTTTAAGTGTTCTGATTACTATGATTAAAAGTAGTTTTATTTTCTATATCAGTACTACTTATGAATTTTATGACACTAGACAAAGAATGAGATAAATACCTTTGTCATGTAGAAGATACAACAAGCTATCATGTGCTGTACACTTTCGAAACTTGAAATATGTTTCTTTGAGAGTGTAATACTTGGTAGTCCTTGCAAAACCACCATACACTTTATCAATATCTAAAAAAATAAAAGCACAATGATTTTTGTGTTAAAATATCATCTTTACTCATTATAAAATGTATCCAATTATGTGAGTCTTAAGCCATAAAATTTTGTTACAAATTGCTTATGATATATAAAAGAATGTATCTAGATGAAATGTATATTTCAATTTTCAGATGTATCATTCACCTAAAGAAACTTGAAAACTAGTGATGAGTGTAGAATAATTATATAAATAACTATAAAACAAAGCATCTTTTCAAAAGTATCATAAAGATGTAGGCTGAGTGTTACATATAAACAAGAAATCTTAGGAGGACCTTGAAAAACTACAGAGAGGATCAGGTGGCATATTAAATATTGCATAGTGATTCCAGGTACTTGAAATGATAGTTTCCTTTAATATTAAAATTAAACATTAATATCCCCCCAAATCAATTAATATTGGTATTTACTTCCTATGCTCCTTGTTTCATACTATAGGATCTTGCATTTGATCAAGAACTAGATGATTCAGTTTGGTTTTCAATACTACTGCACAGTTCTGAACAATGCTCCCATCAGAAAAGTACAGCTGAGATTGCAGCAATCTATTCTTCATCCATACTATCCCAAAGGACAAAATAATTTATAGGTGTTAAGTCTTTTTGAGGCACATTAATTATTTCAAGCTACCATTCTAACAGTATTATTATTCCTACAGGACACTGACAAGTATTTTTAACACTTTTTAAATTTCTCAGCATCATACAACTTCACATCCTCAAATAATGCTATAATATATATAGTAGATATATACGCTCACGTACATATACATACACATATAAATACAAAAAATGTACATAGAAAGAAGGTTGCTGTTATTTTACAAAATAGCATTTATACACATCTTTCTGAACTTTGCATTTCTCTTTCAACCTTGTCTTCTGAAAAGCCCCTCTTAGTCTACAAGTATAGCTCTGATTCATTTTTGCCAATGGCTTCATAATATCATAATATCATTTGGTGGCTCAAACATAATTTATCAGCCCTTCCAAGGATCTTAACACTGCACACTTAATGGCATCTGGCCTTGCTGTGATTTGTCTTTGTCTCCAGCTTTCTTGCCACCACCAAGAACACCACAGTCTGAGTGGTAACTGAAGGCTCAGTTTTGAGATGATGCCTAAGGAGGATGACGCACCTTCCTCCAGGCCACTGATACTCTCTATGTGGTACTCTGTCCCCAGTTGGTAGAATATATGCATCCATGACACCAGGGGTAGAAGGAGCTGTTCATTTTGCCAGCCAGTGATTTTTATTCTACGGGGTACATAACTTACAGTGGGATTGCTCTTTCAGATAAATGTATTTTAAATTTTATTAAAATTTTATTCCATGAGATAAATTACTGGTAGAAAAATAACTGTCAGGTGTATTTGTTTTTAATTTTGTGTAAAATTAGATTTAATTTAATTAAAATTAAAGTTGCTTCATCAAAATCCAAAACTTGTAATAATTCATATTTCCCCCATCAAAGAATGAGAATGCCATCGTACATTTCCAGCAGCAATCAGAATTATAGATCTTATATTGTTAATTTAATGTGCATTTCTATGACTATTCTACACTGAGCATCTTTCCAAAGTTTCCCGGCCACTTGGATTTGCTCTCCTGTGAGATACTTATTCATACCTTCCTATTAGGTTACTGTCAATTTATAGGACTTTCTGTTACATATATTTACCCTCCATCAGCTTTTGGGCTATTTTTTCCAAATCTATAAGTTTCCTACAATCTTTGTTATGGTCCCCTTTGTCACTTGCAGGTATCTTGTTGTTTCTAGAAGTTCTGTTTTAGTTATGAAGTTTTCCTCCAAACCCTGAGCTACACATCATCTCCTGGGATTTTTTTTTTTTATTCCTAGATTTTTTTATTTTATTTTACATTTAAATCCTTAATACATCTGGAATTTTTTAATGTAGTAAAATTGAAGTCAAAGTCCACTTTCTTTCAGATGAATAGCCAGGTGTTTCACCACCATTTATTAAAAATACTCATTCTCTTCCACGAATGGGAATGCCAATTCAACCAGTAAACTTGGAAGAAGACCTCAATCCTTAAATAAAGTCTCAGTCCTGGCCAACCTTGATTTCAGCTTAAGATCCAAAATGGGAGACCCAGCTACACTGTACCCAGTCTTCTGACCCACAGAAACTATGAGACAGGTTGATGGTGATTTGTTAAGAAGCATGCACAACTAATGCAATTCCTCCAGCCAGACCTCACAGCCCTTTTTCCTCCATCCCGATTCCTCCATCACCAAGTATGCTTTCTTAGGCTATTTGCTACATTTTCCCTTTATGATAGCTTTAACAATAAGTATTAAATAGTACATACTACTGTATCTAACATCATAAGAACATAATAATTGAAATAACTTAAAATTAAGAGATGACCATTGCCAATATTTAACTATGGAAATAACAGGGTTGGCTGTTTTCAGAGAACACGTTTTATGTCCTTGTCTATGTTTGCTCAAACCATTTCATAATATTTTTCTTGACCCATTTGTGCTTTTTAAGAGATACATTGCTTTTCTTTTCCAAAATGAATCACTGTCTTTATAAAAACATGCTCATGCGGGAGTGGGTAGTAGCCTTACCTGTATGACAGGTACCAAAACAATATTGTGATATATTATAGGAGCAAGGAGGCCATAACATTGAGTCACAGCTTGAAGGGCATAGCTGGAGTCATTTAGGAAGTTACTAAGTTCCAATGCCACTAGTACTCTCTCACATTCAATAAGTCTAGCAATCTGTAAAGAAACGGGCATTGTAACTCAAGCTGAACATCAGGTACCTAATGTAACACATCTCTAAGGAGAAGAAAGGGTAGGAAATGTGATCCTTGTGGTTTAACAACATGAATGTTGGTATGAAGAATATCTATTTCTAGACACAACTCTAACTTTCCAATAGCAATACATGCACTTACTGCAATCTTAGAATTAAACTTCAGAATATTTTATAAAACAATATAAGTACCACTAATAGCAGAAAAAAATCTTTTTTTAATTGGTGAGATAAAATCTTGGCTGTTTTTTAATGTTAGAAAAAATCTAGTTCTCAAAAACAAATTATAGCAAATAATTAAAATGTAACATTTCTATAATATTGCCTCCACTTATTAACAGATTCCAATTTCCCTTTTAGATTTGTAAGAAAATAAAACTAAGCCAAACTATCATACTTCTGCTGCTTACATTTTTGCTACTTAAAAAAAAATGACGGCAAAATGTAAAGTTAGGGTTGTGAGAGTGAATGCAATTAAAAAGAATAGAAATCCTTTCTTACACCTTTCCTTTTCCTACAGAAAGCATTCATTAGTTTTCTATGTATACATATAACATTATGTACAAAGGAAATTGTGTGAGTGAAAACCAGAAATTCCTATTCAACTAGTTTTTACTAGAATGGTAGGTCAGCATTCTGGAATTCACCAAAGTGCTTTTTAAATGTCTTTGTTTTAAGACTGGATATGATGAAAGAAGAAACTGAGCACAACTGGTAGGAACAAGTGGATGGTTGTAAGTATTTGGCTTTATAGAATAGTGAACTTGGCTTGAGCAAAGGCTCATTATTTTTTTCACTTTCTTATCTCTAGAAACTGGTACTGACTCATATAACAATTTACTGGTTAACTAAATAATAAATAAATGTATAGGTGGGAAAAAGAAGCTACAAAAAAAGATGACTAAAAGTGAGTACGGAAAGGAGAGAACAGAGATAGAACCTCAGGCTAGAATAAAAAAAATAATGCAGGATCGTTATTGAAAATAAGAACATTATAGGGCTGCAGATGTACATGGAGTGATGTTTGTAACTGTTCCAAGACTCTATCAACAAAAGATGGATTAAATTCCTGCCTCTGTACAGGAATGTAATATTGTATTTTAAAAACATGGCAGATTGATATGTACCAGCATAAAAATATGTCCAAGGTAAAAAGCGTTAAAAAGGCAGTTGCAGAATGGTAAGTAGATCAAGATCCCATTTTTGTGAATGATAATATATTTGCCTATACGTATCTTTAAAAATTAGAGAAATCATGTGAAAGTGAAACCATAGTATTTTTAGGGGGGGTCGATTACAAGGGTTTCACTGCATACATAATATAGATTTGAATTCTGAAATATATACTACTCTTGTACACAGGAGAAAAAGATAAATTGAAAATAAAAGAGGAAAAAATTATGAACTGAGGCCGTTGAGGCCTACATGCATATCAAATAAAGCAGCTTGGTCATGCCATAGCCTCTCACCATTTGCAAGACAATGCCCAATCCCACAGGAACAGGACATTGAAGCATCAGGAGGCAAACTCAGTGAAACTGATGTGTTTTCAGTCACTTTAATTCACTTACTTGTTGAGCAGGGAAAATCTCATTGCCTTTGATATTATCACAAAAAAGATTTTCTTCTTTAATTTTAATGTCACTTGTTACAAAGATATTTCTAAGAAAAAGGTATAAGAGGATTGAAGAAGTTTCTGCCAAAATATCTGAATGTAATCTGCAAAAGAAGTAAGTAAAATATTACTTACTTCTTTAAAAATACAAAATGATTGACTTAGCATGTGAACTCACCTTTTTTTTTTTCAGGGGAGAGCGCGAATGCAGTCCCCCACTACCACAAATTATGCAGTCGAGTTTCCCACATTTGGGGAAATCGCAGGGGTCAGCACATCCAGAGTGCAATGGATAAGCCTAGCCCTGGGAAAACCACCTTCGTGATCATGGTATCTCCCCTGCCAGGTAAGTATAAACCCACCTTTTTAAATTCACTTGGTCTCTGGGTCTACACAAGGACTCCAACAGCAATAAAAATATACAGGCTAGCTATTTTTGCACAGCTGTTTACACTAAAACTAAAGACAAGTTTGCAACTAAGAAAATGAAGCTACTGAAATATTGTATCATAGAAACATAAAACTGAACTAGTGACAAAGTTTTCTGGCTTTTACATATATAAAGCTCTTTTCTATGAATATAACAAAATTACTATAAGATTGGAAATTAGGACCAATATTTCAATTAATGAACTTTCTGAAAAAAAGGGTCTTTATAGCAAATTTAGGTCTGGTCAAAGAGAGATATAATAACTCTTAGATCATTTCTAAACTATAGTTAACAGTGCCAAGCATTTGGCAAAGCTGTGAAATCTGCAGTCTTCTTTGTTTCCAATATTCCTTCCTTTGCCCTGTGGCTTACTTGGCAAACCCTCACTTGTAAACTGCAGGCTTTCTTCACTCTGCCCTTCCTGTGTGCATAAAATGGGAAAGGATCTGATGTCAGTAATTCACACTTGAAGATGATCACCACCATTTTAAACTTTGGCCTTATCTTTGCCAAGAGAATTTTATTTCTGCCCTTGCCACTCAACATTGAACTTTCTCACTGTTCTCATGATGACCTTCAGCACACTGATACATGCTAGTAGTACAACCTCTTGGCTCCATTTCCCTCCCAGCCCAGCTCAGACTCTGATCGGTCTTCTCAAGAGTGACCTTTCTGTCACCTTAGGTTCTGCCACCTCTTTATGTCATACAATACTCAATTTGCCTGATCTGCCCAATTTTCTATCCCTGTCACAACAGTTAATCATTTATTTATTTTACTCATTCATTCAAGGTAGAATTTTCTGAATGCTTACTATGTTCAAGACACTGTCGTAGGCCCAGGGATATAAAGACAAATCACATTAGCCATTAAGGAGCTGGGATTCACTACAAATTTACACTGTATGACATCAGCTGAGTCATTAGTGCCTCTCACCAACACCTCCATTTATCTTGGATGTCTCCTTGTTCACTTCGCCTGTGCTCCCATTCTTCCCTCTGCTCCCCTGTGCTCTTATACTCTCCTGACTCTACTGCCATAGTGTCAAACTCATATGCATTTTCTTGTATTTCTTGTATCTTCAGTCTCTCCCTCTCCACTGGATCCCTTTCCTCCACCCTTCAAAATTCTTCCCATAAGTCTATCTTCCCTTCCAAGTTTCTTCTGCCTGCTCCCTCTTCTCTTTACTACCCAGCTTCACATGAGTGGTCTCTGCTTGTTACGATTCTTCATTTTTATTTATTCCTGAGCCAATCACAAAATGGTTTCTGGTCCATCATGCCTTAGTGGCTTCCTAACTGCCAATTCTAAATGCCTCTTTTTACTTCTCATCCTACTCAACCTCTCTTCAGTATTTGATATGGCTAGCCAGTCCTCCTTGGCAATGCATTTTCCTGGACTTTCCTGAGCAGCTCCTTTTCCAGTCCCTTCCTTGGTTCCTTCTCCTACATCTGTTCCTTAACTGTAAGCAATGCCCAGGATTCAATCCCAGCCCCCTGTCTGTCCTGCTAGTCATTCTCTGGGAGATACCACTCATTTTTAAGATCTCAGTGATGATCTCCAGGAACAATTTCCAAATCTCTGCCTCTAGCCTTGACTCCCTCAGAGTATCAGCACTAAATAAATACATCTACTGGTATCTTGTATCCACAAAGACATCCTGCTGGAAAACTAAACCCAAAGTATTCCCAATCAAATTTATTATCTTCCTCCAAACACTGTTCTACCTCTCATGTCCCCTTAGTAAATGTCACAGGTGTCCCAGTCAGTTAACTCTAGAAATCCCAATCACTTTTCACTCCTTCCTTTCCTAATCAGCAAGGCACCTGGAATCTAAATCCTGTCTCCTCTTCCTCCTCTTAAAATCCCTCCAAATCCTTCCCCCACAGCACCCAGGATCCTTGTACATGGCAAATGCTAAGTCTATGTTTGTTTAATTGAAATGGAATTGTACTTTTAATGTAAATAAGCATTATCAATACCTTGCTTCAGCCATCATTTGCATTTTTAAGCTCATTATCTTTGATAGAGGAGTGAAGGGTTTTGTCTTCTTATTAAAAGAATTTTAAGCATTAACAAGCAAGAAGGGGAGGTTTTTGTTTTTGAATTTGTGAAGACAGCCTGAAATTACACTAATGCTCATATCTAAGACAGATCTTAAATGCTGTTCCTGTAAGGAAAAATGACAGTAAAGTCAAAAGACAGCCTGCCATTTTATGCAGTCTAATTCTGGGAGCCTCTTTAAGTGAAGAAAAAAACCTTCATAATCTAAAAGTCCATGCATCAAACCCTACCCTAATCTCAACCTGATTCTGCTTTTTATAAAAGAATATTTACAAATACAAAAATATTCCAGGGAATATTTGTGTTTCATGGTATAACTGATACTACTTTGGCTAGCATTTACTATTGTTATTCTAAAACCTTCATTCATGGGCCATCACTGTTTTTTCTGACTCTAGCAAGAAACTTTCTAGCAAGGACTCAAGACCTTGAAATGTATACTCTTATTATAATTCTGATTAGACTAATCATCATTAGGGCTGCTTTAACATTAAATTGAAACTAAATTAATTCAAAGCTTCACCTCTAGCATTTATGTTTATAGTAAACAAATTAACATGTTAAAGTAATAGTTCCAATTACCTTCTCTGTGTTATTGTCATTATATTGCTTAAAGAAATAACAGATTGTTCATCCTGAAGTGGTGAGACAACAAAATAATCCCAAACTGGTGCGAACACTTTCTTAGCTAACTCATAATTTCCAATCTGATAGGCAACCTGCAATAAAAAGCACATTATCCCATGAGGTATTTTTATGGGTAACAAGTATACATTAGGCCAGGTTCTGATATGGTCCTCTCAAACACTAATTTCATATACAGTTTTTCACATTTGCTGCTCTGTTCAATGGCCACTGGCAAGAAGGCAGGCACATTTTGAAATCTCTTTTATTTCTAAATTGCATGGAAAGTTGAAACTCTGTGAGGATGTTTCAAATCCTCATAAGCAAAACAAAGATCACATCTGAGCCAAATTAATTTCATTTTCATCTATCTTGGCAGTGCACTCCATTTATTATAGATACTGTTATAATGAACAATCTGTTCCAAGAGAAACAATCAGATTTCCCAAACCCGATATATGAAATACACTTCATTCTTTTCTGGTTCTGACTGACACTTTCAGAGCTTTTGTGCAACAAAGGGTTCACAGCTGAGAAGGCTGAAGAGTCAAACAGAAATGCTTTCCAAGAAGTCCTAGCTTTTTAAGTTGAACAAATTTAACATTAAAGCAAAATAATTTCACTGAAGAAGCCTAGAAACTCAAGAGAAAAAAATATTTATCAACTTCCCTGTTTCTTTTGGTATAATATAATTCTCTAAAGATATTTCTAAAATTATTCTATTGAATATGTATATAACAATATGAAATCTCACCAAATGAATTCTGTGCTGCCAGAAGTCCTTTATGGAGGCAAGTAAGGGGTAAAGTGTGAGTAAATTCATTGCATTAAGTGATGCTACTTTTCCACTTAAGAGGACCAGAATTTTTCCTGTCTGTCAAATGGTACCCATAATCAGCCAACCAGTAAGCTTTTAAGAAGTTTCCACTCTTGTGCTAAGCACTAGAGGGGTAGATTCTTTAAAAGTTAGGAAAGGCTTCATACTCCATGTAACTCAAATCAAGTTGGAGGCATAAACCATATGAAATCACAAAAATACCACAAAGAATAGCATAATTAACTCAGAGGCTTTAGAGGAGAGGAATGAACACTTGAAGAAGGAGGCAGGGTTTCAGTTGAACTCTAAGGCAAGTTAAGATTCAGGCTGACACAACGTTGACAGAATCTGTGAAGAACAAGTAGTGAAAACAACCATAGAGCATTTAGGAGAGACTGGAGTGACTGGGCAGAATTCAAAGAAAAACAGGCAACATGATGGAGGAGTAAAAACGGGGCATGATTTCTGTCAGAAGACCTTAAAAGCCCGGTGGGACATTTTTAAATGCCATGTGCTAAACTAAGCACTTAATGTGCATTATTATATTCACCCCTCACTACAGCTCCACAAAGTAAGCCCTACTACCGTACCTATTTTGCAAGTGAAGAAACTGAGGCATTGAGAAATGAGTATTTGCACAGAGACCAACAGTCAGCAAAAGTAGTGGAACCAAGTTTCAGAGTGATAAGAGCTTCTGCTCTGGGTTGCATCTGTCAAATCAAAGAGTTGGACTGACTGGTCGCTAAAACACCATAAAATTCTGAGATTTCTGATGGAAAATTATAACAGATGCTGTGTAAATAGGCTGGTGAACTTATAAATGACTCTTCTTCTCTTTTAAAGTATATCCTTTTAAAAATATTTAAAAGGATAGTGCTCAACTAATGAGCACTACAAAACAAAGAAAGATGCCATGATAAAAACTAAGGTTCGTAAACTCATGAGACTTTAACAGAAGAGTGTCATGGTATAAGCATGTTCAGATAGTTAACCAGGCAGTAGTGTGCAGAATAGATTTGAAAGAGGGTGGGATTAAAATGAGAAAGAACTAAAAGACTAATGACATCATTAAGCACAGCAGATACCACCTCCTTGATACATAACTTTTACTTGGCTTCCAGAACTCTACACTCTAGGCTTTCTTTCTACTTCCAAGGCCACCTTCCTTTTCAGTTGCTTTTGCTAGTTTCTCCTCTTTTCCCTACATTCTTTATGTTGGTATGTCCCAGGGTTCATTCCGTCTTTCAATTCCTTCTATCTTCCATCTATGCTCACTTTCTTAATGATCGCATCCAGTGCCATGATTTTAATTATCACATAACCATTCTCTAATCTTTCTCCTGCCCACACTCCTCTCCCAAACTCCAGATTTATACATCTTACCTAATTATCTTACCCCAACATACCTCAAACTCTGAACTTCTTGTCTCCCCTTCCCCCAAATCTACACCACCCATAGCCTTTCCTAACCCAGCGAATATCAAATCTGTCCTTTCAATTGGTCAGCTCCTACCTTAAAGACATCTTTTTTTTTTCTTTTTATATTATTTCCACCAGGAACTCTTGTTAGCTCCTTCTTGAAAACATATCCAGAATCTGACTACTTCTCACTCCCAGTACAGTCACACTGGCCAACCACCTTCATTTGTCTGTCATCAGATTGGAGCAAGAGATAAGTGTTACCCCTACTGCCCTCATCATCTACACCATCTTAGCAGCCAGGATGAACCTTTGAAATTGGAAGTCACATTATGTCATGCCACTACTCAAAATCATCCAAAGACTACTGATTACAGTGAGGATAAAAGCCAAACTCCTTACAATAGCCTAGAAGTCTTATAGGATCTGCCCCCACCCACCAACCCACCTCTTACGTCTCTTTTTTTTTTTTTAATTTTTTTTATTGTTTTATTATTCATATGTGCATACAAGGCTTGGGTCATTTCTCCCCCCTGCCCCCACCCCCTCCCTTACTACCAACTCCACAACCTCCCTCTCCCCACCGCCCCCTCAATACCCATCAGAAACTGTTTTGCCCTTATCTCTAATTTTGTTGTAGAGAGAGTATAAGCAATAATAGGAAGGAACAAGTGTTTTTGCTGATTGAGATACGGATAGCCAAACAGGGAGTTGACTCACATTAATTTCCTGTGCGTGTGTGTTACCTTCTAGGTTAATTCTTTTTGATCTAACCTTTTCTCTAGTTCCTGGTCCCCTTTTCCTATTGGCCTCAGTTGCTTTTAAGGTATCTGCTTTAGTTTCTCTGCATTTAGGGCAACAAAAGCTAGCTAATTTTTTAGGTGTCTTACCTATCCTCACCCCTCCTTTGTGTGCTCTCGCTTTTATCATGTGCTCAAAGTCCAATCCCTTGTTGTGTTTGCCCTTGATCTAATGTCCACATATGAGGGAGAACATACCATTTTTGGTCTTTTGGGCCAGGCTAACCTCACTCACAATGATGTTCTCCAATTCCATCCATTTACTAGCAAATGATAACATTTCGTTCTTCTTCATGGCTACATAAAATTCCATTGTGTATAGATACCACATTTTCTTAATCCATTCATCAGAGGTGGGGCATCTTGGCTGTTTCCACAACTTGGATATTGTGAATAGTGCCGCAAAAAACATGGGTGTGCACGTGCCTCTGGAGTAACCTGTGTCACAGACTTTTGGGTATATCCCCAAGAGTGGTATTGCTGGATCAAATGGTAGATCAATGTTTAGCTTTTTAAGTAGCCTCCAAATTTTTTTCCAGAGTGGTTGTACTAGCTTACATTCCCACCAGCAGCGTAAGAGGGTTCCTTTTTCCCCGCATCCTCGCCAACACCTGTTGTTCGTGGTGTTGCTAATGATGGCTATTCTAACAGGGGTGAGGTGGAATCTTAGTATGGTTTTAATTTGCATTTCCTCTACTGCTAGAGATGGTGAGCATTTTTTCATGTGTTTTTTGGCCATTTGAATTTCTTCTTTTGAGAAAGTTCTGTTTAGCTCACTTGCCCATTTCTTTATTGGTTCATTAGTTTTGGGAGAATTTAGTTTTTTAAGTTCCCTATATATTCTGGTTATCAGTCCTTTGTCTGATGTGTAGCTGGCAAATATTTTCTCCCACTCTGTGGGTGTTCTCTTCAGTTTAGAGACCATTTCTTTTGATGAACAGAAGCTTTTTAGTTTTATGAGGTCCCATTTATCTATGCTATCTCTTAGTTGCTGTGCTGCTGGGGTTTCGTTGAGAAAGTTCTTACCTATACCTACTAACTCCAGAGTATTTCCTACTCTTTCCTGTATCAACTTTAGAGTTTGTGGTCTGATATTAAGATCCTTGATCCATTTTGAGTTAATATTGGTATAGGGTGATATACATGGATCTAGTTTCAGTTTTTTGCAGACTGCTAACCAGTTTTCCCAGCAGTTTTTGTTGAAGAGGCTGCTATTTCTCCATCATATATTTTTAGCTCCTTTGTCAAAGACAAGTTGGTTATAGTTGTGTGGCTTCATATCTGGGTCCTCTATTCTGTTCCACTGGTCTTCATGTCTGTTTTTGTGCCAGTACCATGCTGTTTTTATTGTTATTGCTTTGTAATATAGTTTGAAGTCAGGTATTGTGATACCTCCAGCATTGTTCTTTTGACTGAGTATTGCCTTGGCTATTCGTGGCCTCTTGTGTTTCCATATAAATTTCACAGTAGATTTTTCAATCTCTTTAATGAATGTCATTGGAATTTTGATGGGAATTGCATTAAACATGTAGATTACTTTTGGGAGTATAGACATTTTTACTATGTTGATTCTACCAATCCATGAGCATGGGAGATCTCTCCACTTTCTATAGTCTTCCTCAATCTCTTTCTTCAGAAGTGTATAGTTTTCCTTGTAGAGGTCATTCACATCTTTTGTTAGGTTTACACCTAGGTATTTGATTTTTTTTGAGGCTATTGTAAATGGAATTGTTTTCATACATTCTTTTTCCGTTTGCTCATTGTTAGTGTATAGAAATGCTAATGATTTTTCTATGTTGATTTTATATCCTGCTAATTTGCTGTAGCTATTGATGATGTCTAGAAGCTTCTGAGTAGAGTTTTTTGGGTCTTTAAGGTATAGGATCATGTCGTCTGCAAATAGGGATATTTTGACAGTTTCTTTACCTATTTGTATTCCTTTTATTCCTTCTTCTTGCCTAATTGCTCTGGCTAGGAATTCCAGTACTATGTTGAATAGGAGTGGAGATAGTGGGCATCCTTGTCTGGTTCCTGATTTTAGAGGGAATGGTTTTTTTTC